CCTTGATTGGTTTGTGATTATGCCAGTTTCAACTATTTCTGAGCATGTCCAAACCAGTCCAAATACCCTTGCTGGGGTTATGTGTTTGCAGTCAAATGCCTGTGTATTCCTAAACCCTTGACCCCTGTGTGACTACTGAGTTTAGTTGGACTCTGTAACTACTGAAGTACTTGACTTTGTGTATCACTCCAACTTCTTTCAAACAACCTCTATTACCTTATAATTGCTTCCATAAACAAAATTTTAAGTCTAGTCTTTAATAAATTTCTTTCAACTCGTGTCCTGCACTTCCACTTCATTCTTAGTTAATAAGTTCTGCCCCCTCTAGTATGTGTACTGCCTTGGGTTCCTCTTGAGAACCTTCTTAACTCTGGCATACTGAGGCTGGCCTTTCCACACTGCACTGGTTCAATGCTCAACAGAATAGCTTCTTGATTTTCTATTTTTACTTATGTAATTCATTCATTGGCCTGTAATAATTTGTAAATAGAAATTTGGGGTACTTAGTAAAAAGGGGTGGGTAGATGTATACTTTATGGGGTAACATGGGTAGAAATCCTGCTCTTAGGGTTTACTTTCAAATCTGCCTGCTTCACTCGATAGAAACATGTTCATAGGGTTTATATTATTGTTGAATCTGATTGCTTTTGCATAATAGAACCATGACTATAGGATTCCACTTCTAATTTCATTTGCATCACAATAGAAATCATGCCTATAAGGACTTCACTTCCAGTGTCGTTTGCATCAAACAAGAATCATGTTCTTAAGGTTCTGCATTTTCGTCATGTTAGAAATCATGTTCATAGGGTTTCAAACAACCGTGTCTTAAATCATTCAAATATAGATACCATGTCTATAGGGTTTAATTCCGATTCAGTTCTAATAATTCTTTCATATGTTACTAAAACATGTGACGCGCCTAGATACCATGCCTGTAGGGATTTCCATTCGCAATTACGTCTAGTAGTCTGATTAGCCTAATAAGTCAATTTCATTTTCGCCTAGTTTACTTCTTAAAACTGTCCTTGTTAAGTGTGATGACATTTCCTGAAACTAGTTCTTTCAAATATGACTTAACCTCATTAGATATCCTGCTTATAGGTGTCAAAAGGGTCTATTTCAAAAACTTGTTTGTCTCTGCATTAATATATAGACACAGTACTGCACATAGGCAAGCCTTAGGGTATTTTTTGAAAACCTGCATTTCCCTGAAGTTGTTTCCATCGTTCAACATTTCTGATTCTAATAAGTTGTTAAAAAGGAGTCACTAGGCAACTATTAGGTTATAACTTCTGAATCTGAAAGTGGTCTATTTCTGCATAATCACTTAGAAATCCTACTTTAGGACTTTGATTAATAAAGACCTTAACTGTGTTTGAGTCATGCTGCTTGTATGTTTGTCTGAGGGGGAAATTGTGAGCCTTTTAATTGCTCCCGTTATGTGAAAGTCCTAAATATTTTTTACGGTCACCTTAGATTTTTGCCTTTAAATCCTTACGGGTACGTCTAAGAACCACCCATAGGTAGAGGTCCTAACACCCTCCGGGACCGTTAAGAAGGGTCGGGTAGCAGCACGCAATAGGAATCAATGACCAAACACTCGCTTTACATAACCAATAAGGAGATGGGAAGGGTAGACATGGATATGATGACCGGTGCGCTAATGCCACACGTAGAGTGATTACCGGGCATAGTACTGATGTGATCCTATAGGATAACCAACCTAGGACCCCTCTTTACCAAATCCTTTCTTTAAAACTTTGTTTTACAACTTGTTCAAAACTTTATCTTACTACTTGAGTTACTCTACCGTACTTTACTTGCAACCTATTTGATTTTTACTTGTAATGGACTGATTTGTGAATATAAGTTCAGTCGGGACCCACAGTTGTGGACCAAGAGGGGTGCCTAACACCTTCCCCTCGAGGTTAGCTTGAGCCCTTACCCTAATCTCTGGTAATACCAAACCAACCCAAGAGTTAATTACTCTAGGTGCCCTAACGCACCTTAACTCGTTAGGTGGCGACTCTTCAAATACCCAATTCCCAAAAGGAAATGAGTCATTACACCCGTGAATGTCGAAACCCGGACTCCTCCCCGCGGAGGAGAAAAAAGGGGGCGCGACACTTGCTATAGGAACTGGTCCGTAGTAATGTTGTTCTTTGTTCTTGATGCACTTGAGAATTGAACGCTCAACTGTAGAACGATTGGAGTGCTTGAATGAATTCTCAAGTGTTCAAATGATGTTTTGTTGTAATGCTCTTTGTTAATAAAACTTTGATGACATCACTTGAATTATGTAATCACTTGGTTGGTCAAAGGGGAGTGAGTGCAGTACTGCGCAACACTGTTTGCGTGTACAGTGCATGCAGTCACTTTCTAGCTGTAGACAGTTGACTTTGTACTGTTGTCGTGGAAACACAAGGGAATCAGGTCCCTGTGTTGATTCTTTATCTTCTAAAGTCATAACAACTCACATTAGCTGGAGTCCGTTGATTTGAGTTGTGTACCAAGTGTGTCAGGTTCCTTATCTGGTTCTTTGATAGTAAGTTTGTTAGATCATCAAAACATAAAGCTAAGGTACTGTAAACCCATCAACAGTAAGTTTATTAGATCATCAAAACATAAAGCTAAGGTACTGTAAACCCATCATTGTTGTAACAAGAGGCTAGCTTATTGCGAAAAACTGTTATCAATAAATAGAAAATATAACTAAATAAATTGAAGCCAATTATTTTTTTTATTTCCTAAATTTTCCATGTATAACGCACATAAAAATTCAATGTGACTTTATCAAAGCAGTAGCGATGCGCACCAAATTCCAGATATTTCACAGGGTAGACGAATGCGTTTGAAAAATCTTTGTTTCACCAATTTAGACATATCGTAACCTTTGATTTTTCTAGCACATAATTGACTGTCGTATTGTCTACTTAACTAAAAGTGTAAAATCCACTTTACCCCTTTAACCTTTAAGGATTGGAAAATAATACCCTCCTCACATTTTGAAAGCGAAAGGGAACCCCCCTTATGCAATAAATATTTTTTGGTGAAAGTTTTTTTTTTAAAAATAAAGATTCTCTCTCTCTCTCTCTCTCTCTCTCTCTCTCTCTCTCTCTCTCTCTCTCTCTCTCTCTCTCTCTCTCTCTCTCTCTCTCCTTTCAAAGATCAAGTATAATATTTTTTATCCAAACTAATACTTGGATTTCGTCTTTTTTTTTCTTGTAAAATTTAAGATATTTTTCTATTATATTGATGTTATATTGTGGAGGTGCACCCCTCCTACGTCTGGGACAATCCCTCACCATATGCATAGTGTTACCACATTGGAAACAACCCCTCAGCGGGTATGGCTGCTGGAACTGTGTCTGACTCGGTTGGCTAGAATGACCATTATAGGCCCCTCGTGTAGGAGGTGCACTGGAAGTGGCTGTGCAAAATGGACGCTTTGAGGCCCCTGAATGGCTGGTGCACAGTGAGTAGCCTGAAGTGCAGAATGAAGTGGCCGACTGATATAACCTCTGCCATGACGAGCTGAAACTGCAGAGCGGGAACCACTAAATCCTCCAAAATCCTGAGGCTCTTGGTCTCCCTCTCCTTGCTATGTATATGCTCCAACCTCCGAGCGATCTCAACAGGCTGCTGAAATGGAGTATCAGTTTCCAACTCTCGTTCCATACCAAACCTAAGACCATAACTGATCCCCTCAATAAATATGTGGACTCGCTCTCTGACTGTAGAAACCAAAGCGGGTGCATGATGAGATATCTCAATAAACCTTATGGAATACTCGGACATACTCATAGTCCCCTGACGCGACTGCTCGAACCCTGTGCACAACGCATCCCTGAGGGTCTATGGAACAAAGTCCCTAAAAAATAGATTAAAACAATGAGCCCATGCGAGCGACACTGAATTAGCTAGCCACCCTCCTCATTAGCCTGCCAACATCTATATGCCAACCCTGTCAGCTGAAAGGTACTAAAGTCGATCCCGCTCACCGTAAGCACTGAATTTTTGTCCTAATACAAATTACTCCTAAAAATATTCCAAAATAGTTTTTTAATTATTACATAGAATTGTAGAAATTTTATTTTACTTTTATCCAGTTTATTTTGCATTTATTTGCATAGTTCATGCGTATTTTGAAGTGTTTTAAACCATAAAATATCATTAAAAAATGTTTAATTTTTTATCCCATATTTTTACATTTTTAGATTTTAGTTTTAACTTAGTAATTTTCTTTCATCAGTTTTAAGTTGATCATTATTTAAATGTTAGAAATAGATATTAGGTTTAATCTCACAAATTAGATTTGATTTAGGAATTAATTTAGGTGCTTAATTATTTTGATTAGGATTTTTAATTAAAAAAGGAAAGAAAAATAAAGAAAAGAAATAAATAGGGAGAAATTAGAAATATCCAGATTTACAAGTGGTCATTCAAAAATAGCCATAGTTTCAAGCGTAATCGAAATTTAGCCACTTTTCATGTAAAGATAAATCTGAACGAAAATACTGTTCAAAATCCAAAAAAAAACTCCAGTATAATATACTGAAATTCTAGTATAATATACCGGTCCAGCATAACATACTGGAGATTGGAGCACCAACATACTGGAGATTGGAGCACCGGTGCTCCAATCTCCAGTATATTATACTGGAACTTTTCGCGTGTTGGAGTTCCAGCATAATATGCTGGAAGTTCATATACAGGGGCACCGATCTCCAGTATATTATGCTGGAACTTTCCGTGTTGTGGCAAAATAGTGGCTATTTTTTAATGACTTTGCAAACGCTGGCTATTTTTGAATGGCCAGTCCAAAAACTGGCTAGCCCGTGCTATTTTTACAAATAAATAGCTTGTTTGTTCTTGGTTAAAATTACGCCAAAAGCCCAATCTAATTGGCCCAATTGCCAATTATCACCCCAAATCTGTCCAAGCCGACTACCCGCCGGGCCAATATCCCCTTCGTCTCTAAAATACACCCTAACTCTACACTCCTCACACACACAGACTAGAGACAGAACGGACGCCCCCTTGAGGACTAGACCTAGCCGTCCTTGTTCATTCATCTTCTCAAAACAGGAACACCAGAGAACGCCCCCCCCCCCCCTCCCCCCCTCATTGGAAGAACGTTAGCAGCCCGGCTCTCCATGGTCACTCCCTCATCTGCACCTCGCACACACAATACTCGTTCACTCTCTCATATTCTCTCATCTACATTCACGCCCTCTTACTCTCACTTCCACCATTCACAAGCACACAAGGAAAAAAGAGTCGAAAACTCAAACAAGCAGCTAAAAATTAGATTCTCAACAGCTGAAAACACTGAACAATAGTTATACATCTAGGAAAATCTGATAGTCACTGCATTTTCGAAATCAAAGAAGAATTTCAAATCTGGAAAAATCTCTGTTTTAGCTTCAAGCTGTTGGATCTTCGAAGCTGATTTTCTGCAATTGCGGGTCTTGCCGAACTTCTGCTGTTGCATTGCTAGGATTGTTTGACTGAGTTCCATCCTCCAACTGTAGCTGTTTCTGCCTTTATTTGGCTGGCTCTATTTCAATTTCTGCCGCTTAGGTACTTTCTCTTCCCAGATATAGTGTAATTACTGTTTTTGATATAAATTTATCACGAATCTGTAATGTTTGTCTGCATATTCTATTTGTTCGATTTGGTTCTTTACTTGAAGATTAATGAATCTGAAGGTTTAAATTGATATTTCTAAAATTAACTAAATCAGTCAATGTGTTCCTACCATATTTCTAGGCAAGCTTTAATGTGTTAGCTTTGGTAAATATAAGAATTTGATGTGAATTTGGGGAGTAACAGAGTGCGCTCCTATTTTTCTTATATACAGCTGTTCAACGAAAACTAAATGCTTGTATTTCCACTCATCTGATGAAGTGATTTATCTTTGAACTATGGCATAAATTTAGGCTGCTTCATGTTTTTTTTTAAGGTCTGTTTATGGTTCCTTTTATTCTAGACAATGTTAAAGCAGTAAGTTGATGGATTTAGTTGCTCGTTGGTCAAATTTGTTCACTGAAAAAGCTCAGGCCAGAATTATTAGGTGATATGTTTGTAATTGCTTCTGTAGCTAGTTAGAACGTGAAGTATGAATTACCTATTTGGTCATTGTGATATGTTTGATTCATCTACAAAGTTATTCATGTTAAGGACAAAAATAAAAAGAATTGGGTTCCAAAATGTTTACTGCTTTGTTTCATTCGTCAGGAATAGGCCATTAGTATCGTTAATTGAAAGAATTTAATTTTGTTAATCCAAATAGTTAAAATTATATATCTTCTCCACAAACAATCCATTATTCCATAACTTTGGACTCTCACTAAACAATCTTAGAAAATTAATTAATTCAAGAACTTCGTAGCTTGCTTTAAGCGCAATTAAATAAACCATCGTGACTATGGGTACGGTTCGCGTGGCATAGTCACGATACGTAAATCCCAACTCGAGTGTGTGTTTCACGTGACTCTACCATAACTTCAAATAATAATAAAAATCAACATGTTGTAGATCGCGGGTGCGTTTCACGTGACGCGATTCGCAATATGTGTATAAACGAGCGAGGTGAGCGAGGTCGCACCTCGCGATTTGTTTAAATAAATTCCATAAATATTAAAAAGCGGTTACAAAGTAAAAATGCACATTAAGTTTTAAACATGTAATAAATCAGATAATTAAGTCAATTATTAATAGTTGAGCGACCGTGCTAAAACCACGAAACTCGGGAGTGCCTCACACCTTCTCCCGAGTTAACAAAATTTCCTTACGCGTTCTTCTGGTTTCGCGGACTTTAAAACAGAGTCAATTTTTCTCGATTTGGGATTTAAAATAAATCGGTGACATGGGACACCCTAAATTATTCTAAGTGGCGACTCTGAATCAATAAATAATCCCATTTCGATTAATGTCACTTAAATTGAAAAAACTTCCTATCCCTATCCTTTCGGGAAAAAGGAGGTGTGACACTCACCTCCACAATGCACATGGTGCAAAGAATACGACGGCACTGGTCTAGAAAACCATGTGCATCCTCAGAAACTGCGCCACTGAGAGTAAAGAATCATACTTCTTGAATATCTCAAGCCTCTTCTGCACCTCATCTGATGCCACTGGCCTGACCTCAGGTTGAACGGCGATAGCAGGTTGTACTGACATAACACCGGAACCTGATCAATATAGACCCATTGTTCTAGAGTATGGGTAGCGGGAGTATGAACTCTTCCCCCAACCTGAGAGGTAGCTGGTGCAACTAGGATTAATCCCGCCTAAGCTAAAGTACCGAACATGCTCAGAAAATGTGCGAAGGTCTCCTAGATTCTAGGGGTAGTAACAGGCGCCTAGGGTGCCTGTCCCCTAACCGGAGTTACCAGTGGCTCCTTAGCTACTGCTCTGGCAGGTGCCCTAGCTGTGTCACGTGCCCTGCTCGGCCTCTACCTCAGCTCCGACCTCTTGCGGCTCTAACAAAGGGCACGAGTGTCTGCTCAGCTGATCCGGTAGTGCATGTTCTCACTGTCTGTGAGAGAATAGAAAGATAAAGACTAAAATTCCGAAATCAATAAATATGCACGATAAGGAATGAAAGAAGTGAAATTTTTTAATAGTCTCGTAGCCTCTCGAAGATAAGTATAGACGTCTCTGTGCCGATCCACAATACTCTACCAAAGTTGCTTATGACTCGTAGAACCTATGAACCTAGAGCTCTGATACGAACTTATCACGACCCCAAAATCCTACCTTTAGGATCATGATGGCAGAGACTAGGTAAGCTTAACATATGCTGAGATTTAACATAAATAAACAACTTAACTATTAAATTAACTATCAATAGCATAATTGAGCTGAATCTGATCAATAGTCATACAATCCTAAAATCGGTGGTATGGAGTCATAAGCTCTAGTAAGAATAAAGTAGGAGTCTCAAATACAATACTACTTTGGAATGAAAATAAACAATAGTAAAGGTAATATCATAAGGTGACTCCAAGATCTGCGAGCGCGAACAATATGTATAACATGAAGTCTCCGCAACTCAACCTCAACTCAACTCTCTACCGTCTCACGATTTGACGCACCTGTATCTGCACAAAAATATACATAACTGTAGTATGAGTACACCACAATCGGTACCCAATAAGTATCAAGACTAACCTCGGTGGAGTAGTGACGAGGTTCAAGTCAATACACTCACTAGACATAGAAACATGTACAGAATATATATATATATATATATATATATATATATATATATATATATATATATATATATATATATATAGAGCTAGCAACGAAAAGGAAAAATCAATAAATAGCAACAAGAATAAACATGTGATAAAATAACAAAAAAAATTAAAACACAATTAAAATACAAGTGAAATCATTTAAGGAAGAAATAACAGTTTAAATCATCAAGCTGTTCCCATACAAGATTTACAACAAGGATCACTCCGAGGTACCACACCTCATAAGCATAAATCACGAGTCACAAATCACAATTCATCCTTATGACGCCGCATGAGCATTACATTTTTAAGAACATTTTTCCCAAAATAGCTCCATGCACTTTAGTTCCCTTATCTCGCTGCGTGTGCTTCAAATGAAGTATTTCCCTTACTTGCAAGATGTGAATAAAAAGCATCCTTATCTCGTCGCATGTGTATCCATAACACCACCCATATGCCGCCGCATGCACATCTCATCACAACACAATAATCAACTTGCACCACATGTGCACATATGCCACAACATTGCTAAAACCCAATTGATCCAATCATTCCACAACTCCCCGGAAACGAATTCAACCATCCCCGCAAGTCATAAAACTAAAGATAAGCATAGGGGAAGCTTCAAAAGGGAAAACATACCTCAAATACACAAACTGACCAGTCGGGTCGTTACAACTGTCTATGTACATTTTTTTCAGCAAAAAAAAGAATCAAGTCCCCATGCAGTTCACAGTTAAAGTTAAATATATCGCATTTAAAATCACATAGTCTGTTTAGGAGGTACGCGACTTGGACGATGAACAAGGGCTAAAGTGTGGGTTATGGTCAGAGACGGAGGGGCGGGTGCTTCCTGCTCACTCTCTCTCCCATGAACACACTCATTCTACGGTCATAGAGAGACTTTTCAAATGGAAGACATCCAAAGATACATACAGTCAAATAGATCACAACAACATAATTTTCTATATCTACTTATTTTTCAGGATTATATTTATACACTTGCTCATGATCATAATTTAAATAGAAATAAGTTGATTTTGTTAAAAAATTTCAGGTTATAACAATAAATTTAATTTTATAATTGTGAAATATTTAATTACGAACCATCTTGCTACTTCTTCTTCTTCTTCAAACCTTTGGGTCAACATCCGACCATCTGACCTGAAATTAAATATGCCAAAGTCTAACTTCAGATCTCATGTTTGAAGTTAGAAACTCAGATCTTTTATTTCTTCAGAGTCAACGGTCCGAAGTTAATTTTTAGGCGGTTAAAATTTTAAATTTTTTATAATATTGGCTATTCTTAAAAGTGTCTTACGGGAATGTCCAAAATATGCCCAAACTTATCAACCTCTAGCCATTAATCACAGACTTACCAAAACTAGCTAAGCACATAAAAAATTTAAAACCTATATAAATAAGGATTCTTTCTCTTCAAGAATCATACGCAAAGATCTTCTTCTATATTTTAAGTCTGATTAGCAACATTAGATGTAAGACGGAAAGAAAGTTTTATGGATGAGGTAGCAAATAAGGTGATGAAATACAAAGAAAAAAATATACAAGATTCTAAAAACCTAAGCAAAAAGGGACCCTTTTCGATGGGTATGATTGAAACCCATTGAAAACATATAGATGAGTCAATATACACAATTTGAGGAAGATTGAAGATGATGAACTGATTTGATGTCAAAATTCGTAGTTAAAAATCGAGATTCTTCTGCGACACATGTATCAAACATGTACCACCTATGTATCTAACACGAGTATACATGGATATACATATGATACACAAATGATACACAGTGTAATACACATATCATCTTTTTTCGTGTTCATCTTCTACTTCGAATTCAATTCAATTCAAACCACCTCAAAACTCCACCAAATCATCCCAAAACTAAGATTCAAACTCCTTAAGATGTACCCAATCTATTTGAACAATATCCACTCAAAAGAAAGCAAAAATTCAATATTTTCTTTGCCTACAAATAGCTACTAATTGGCTAATATTAATAATATTTTATGAATTGATTAATTTTTGTACTAATTTACTTATGGGCTGATATAGCTAGTAGTTTCTCTTCTTTAAATAGGTCCTAAAACGTCTATTTGTGCACTTTCCCCAAGTTGTCTAGGCAATCGGCCCACTTCAAATGGGCCTTTCAGCTCATTCTTCTTCATTAAACATACAAAACAGAGAGCTCAGTTTTATAATTTGAGGAAGGGAGAAGAGCAAGGGAAACGGTGAAATAGCGGAGAAAGGTAGGATGTTCTTCAGCTGTCTGAAATTCATCGTCAAAACTTTCTCTTATCATGGATTCCTGATGTATTTTCATCTTTAACGTTTTATCATTTTAATTCATCCAAGTTAGGTGGTGCAAAGTCTTTGGTTGATGAATGTTTGTTAGTTGTTCGATATATTGCTTCAGTGAATGCACCTACTCCTTTTAACTGGTAGCGCATATTAGGGCTATTCTCTTTCTTAGTCCCTATGTCCCATTTCATGTAATATTGAGCGTGTAATTTAAGAAATAAATTTTCTTTATATCAGTAGTGAATGAAGAAACTATTAAAAATAATTGTTAGAAGTTAGTTTGTTGGAAAACTATGCCACAGGAATTTGAATTTGAATATCAATTAGGTGGGTTCTGATTTGTTCAGACCCCAACTTTAGATTGACTTTGGAATTTTGTTCATGGAATAACACATGAAAATGGAATTATTTGTGCTTATGAAAGACTAGGATATATTTGTTATTTATCATGGAGGGAGTATTTTCTGTGGTTTAGTTGCATTGTGCTACCATTTTGTATGATGTGCATTGCATATCTATTGTTGTGACAGGACTAGTACCCATGAACTAATACCGTTGCTTATTTTTAAAGGTATCTTTCATATGGGAGTATGCTGAAACTAGTTTCTGAAACGTTATGTGTGCGAGTAGGCCAGATAATTAGGCCTGTTCTATGTGCGCAAATTAGTGGCTTTCATACTGCAAAGGTAAATTTATTTGTCTTAATCTACTACTTCATGTAGCCTTTCCATTTTTCATATGTGCATAGATAGCTTTGTCTAGTAAATATAATCCGAGATTAAAGGAAAATTAAATTGTTTTAGACCTTGAATGATAGAGTTATGTACAGTTGTGTTTGAAAAATAGTTGGACTATGAAAGGTGGAATAGTGTTGAAATTAGTATGACCTAACAATTTTTAGATACTCATTAAGACATACTGAAATGAAAAGCTGTTCCATATAGGGTCAAATAATTTTGAAAACACTGACAAAAAGAATTCAATCTGTACTAGAATCATGTGACTGTCAAAAAGGTGAAACTGTGAAAGGTAAATGCTTGACGGTGTTGGACGTTTCTAAGTAATAAGGAAAATTTAGTTTCCCTCATAGATGCAATGCATTTCTTAATCTAATCGGATAATAATACCTTGTACATAATGGCATTTTGAGATAACCTCCTATTGTGTTGAGATGAACTTTTATTGTTGATTTCGTGTGGATGGTTCGAGGAATCTATGGTGTGCTTTTACATACAAATGCTTGTATTATGTATCGATGATATTGCTTAATGGAAAAGAACAAGCTAATAAGGAAGAAGGTGTGCATTTTTGGTGTTAACTGTTATGTGATATCATGCAAGGTTGTAATAAACTAGTGTTCACAGTAGATGCTAAATTTGAAGTGCAGGCAAGTTGGCTAGGTCAATGTTTGACTTAAGAGAAACTAGCTTAATAAAATTTTTAACTTTATGTTTGTTTTAGTGTGCTTTTGTTATCTTTTCACCTTTGCTTTTGTATAACGAAGCAGATATCTGCAGCAACAGGATACAGGTAAGTTTGGATTTTGTAAAAGGAAGAGATTCTTAGAATTGAAGGACAACTCCTTTAATCTTTTGGCTTGGATCTTCATCAAATAAAAAACGTACCGATACATTAAAGTTCCAAGTCAAGGCCCTAGCTCATTTCTAGCTTGGAATGAAGCTCGAACTGATTAAGTGCCTGTGCTTCATTGGAAAAAAAAAAGGAATGACTCTTTCACCGAAAAGAAATATAATAATAAGGTATAACTCTCGAGCAAGAGAGAGAGCGAAAAGCTGTTCACTCCCTCTATGTAGCACAAGCTGCTCAAAGGCGGAGCTAGGACTTGAAGCCTATGGGTTCGGAATTCTGAGTCTTATAAGTTAGTGGGTTCTAAATTAATAATTTGTACTTATTCAATAGATTTTTTAGGAGTAATACAAGGTTTGGACCAAAGCTATTACGTTCGGCTCAACTCTTAGCCGAAGAGCTAGCTCCGCCCCTGGCCCTGCTTACATGTTTGTATACTTGTGTCTTCCTTTCCATGGTTGCAGAGTTGTGATGTTACAAATGTGGCCTTCCGCCTCCAATGTTTGTATATGTGGGCTTGCTGTAGCACCTAACACTTTTCCCTTTTGTTCGGAGTAAGAGTTATGGAAAAGAAAAGTGGGGAAAATTGTGTTCAAGTATATATCAAGGTTTGGTGCTTGTGTGCTAGCACAATAATGTGCACAGTCATTGCTTTGCCTCTGTGTTTGTAGCATTACAGTACTGATAAAATGCTATTTCATTTGCAAGTGTTAAAAAGTATACAAGTTCTATTTCATCTGCGAAATTTGGGTGTTTCCACTTACCTGTATATATCTTTTCTAGGTATTACGCTTGACATATGTGTATAGAACAATCAATGTTAATCTGCATAAGGATTTATATCTTATTAGAAAGATGCACCCAGATATTCTTGAAAACATAGCACCCTGAATAATTTTGTTGCTTCATTTGACAGCCTTGTTTAGCACCTAGAAGCTTTTTTGGTGTAGAAGATTTCCTTGATGATGACAATAGCCGACCATACACTTACCAGAAGGGAAAAAAGTCCAAGAACCCAAACAAGCATGTTTCTTTCAAGCAACGGACTGTAGCTTACATGGAACCTTTCACCCTTGATGTTTTCATATCAAAGCGCTTTGTTTCAGCCTCTATCACCCATAGAGTTACATGCAAACAGGTTGCAGTAGCTGGTACAAACTCTAAAGACATCAAGGCAGTGCTCAAATCACGAAGTGATATTCCTGCATGCTTGTCTGTAGGACAGATTTTGGCTGACAGGGCAAGAGAGGCTGATGTATACACTGCTTCTTATACTCCTAGGGATAGGGACAAGTTTGAAGGAAAAATTAGAGCAGTTGTTCAGTCCCTCATTGATAATGGTATCGACATCAAAGTTTATCTTGACTGAAAAAGGTACTATGTATACCCATTGTATCCGCTAATATTCAACTGCCTCAAAGTTAAGAATCCATATTCCAGTCTACTTAATATTTCTTCCAGTGTTTTATTTTCACAGACGCCCCTCATTGTGGTGAAGACTTGCTCACTAACTTTCATATGATTGATTCAATCAACGTAAGCCATCTTTACTAAAGAAGACTAAGTAATCCAAAGTCTCAACATGGATCCAATAAATTTATGCACTAACATAAAGTTGAGAAAGCCTATAAAGGCTTTGAATGCTCCAATGTTGCTGGTTACACCCGGATAGCATTCTCATTGTACATTTTCATCTTTTTATTCCCCGGTCATCATCAGAAGCTCCAGGGCAAACGAGCTAGGGAGCAACATCAGAGGCTTACTAGTGCATCGCCACGCCAATGCCATGTATGTAACTACCAATACAACTGTACGGCTACGTCCATGACAATTGAGCTTGATTTTGAAGGATGAAGTGTACACATTTGTGTGCCCCCGTCTGTTTCTTTTATGACAAAATTTGACAGTATGTTATTACTAGCATGTGTGTAAAAAAGAAAAAGTTATTACTAGCATGTAAAATTCTGAGGGGCTGTGTGGTACTTGGTATGTAAATTTTATCAGGAAGAATGGGGTTCTATATATTTCCTTGTTTAGTGATTCTGCTCTCATTTTAAATGACAGTATTGGACTGAACACGCTGTTTAAGTGTCAGTTTGAAACAAGTCATCTAACTTTGAAGGATCAGCAAGGAGAGACCCTAGGTGAGCGCCAAAACTTGCATATGGAGCATAGGGTAAGCGAATGTAACCAAAAACAAGGAGGAAATATTGTACAAGAGTAAGGATGTGTGGATTGGAAATGTTGAGTATAAATGACAAGACACGAGAGTAAGGATGTGTGGATTGTAATGAGTAGTGCTCTACTAGTGAAATCGATCCATTGATACCTTTAATTGTTTCAACTAAGGCCGAGCACTCTTCTCGAATTTTTGAATGCACTCTCGCTATAAGTAGTTGAAACCTCTATGTGGAAAAGTTAATATAATGTTGGATTAGCTATATTTCATCTAGTATTCGGTCTTCATACAAAACATGATGTCTTCTGTCTTTTATAGAATTTATGTTGTAGTCAATTGTTTATGACATCCTCGCCTTTTGAACTGATTATATAAACCAGCAGCTTGATCTTCTCAATTATGCCTATTGGAACAACTTCACCATGTCCCCAAAGAGCAATTGAATGATTAAAAGGTATAATTTAAATGGCAGCATCACAAGTTAAAAGTGTTTTTTGGTAGTTAAAGAAACTTTATTACCACTTGGAAGTTTAAAGTTATTACTAGCTAGTTTAGTTAATTGGACTTTTCATATTCTCGCGTTGAATATGGAAAAAAGAGAGAAAATAAAAGAAGTAACTTACCTATAAAAAGTTTTAAGTTATGTGCATTGATGGTAGACGTTTATATTTTTCACCTCTTCATATTTAACCAATAAATGTTTCTTAATTATTTATTTGCAGGAGATAATAAAATGCTCTATGCCCAATACCAATGAACCTATCCTTTAGTATTCCAACAATTAATTGGAATTTGAAAGGGCTTTCTTTCTCATATTCAGATACTATAAATATTATGTTGAGAATACATATGAAAGGAAATAGAAATGGAAACATCAAACGTTAAGGGGAAAAGTATTTCTTGTCATGCAACTATTAGAGTACAGATGGAAGATGTCTTCTTCAGGTGCAAAAAAGATGTTCCTCTGCTAAGACTCTTACATTCTTATTGTGATAGAGTTGGGCTAAAATATGAAGTAATAAGGTTCACTTACGATGGAAACAGAATTAAGGGCATTGAGACTGCACATGAACTTGGAATGGAAGATGAAGATACAATAGATGCTTGGATGGAATGTATTGGTGGTTAATTTCATGCAAATCTTTTGATTAAATTAATGTTTGGCATGTATTTAGTTAATATTTTAATTTTATAAAGGATATAATATCCTTCCTTTGTTTTTCTCTGAGGAGTTCTAGTAGACTTCTGAAAAAAGTATTTACAATTAAACCCAGTATTAGAAAGAGCAAATCGACAAAGAAATATAAATACTCTTATAACTAAAATTGGAGATACAATTCCACTTCAATTTGTATTTAAATGGTACAGGGCACAGATCTCGTCCAGGACCGTTTCTTGTTCTTCATATTAGTTTATGCACAGTAAGATTTTTAAGGGTAAAAAGGGGGAAGAAAATAAAAAGAATAATTTCTTGTGGAAAGGTATTAAGACATGTCTGAGAACTGGCAAATTGTTAGGAATTCATACAGCTCATATTAATACCAAATGCACTTGAAAAATAATAGCAATAATAGCTATATACCATTATAAAATAGTACTAATAGAGATGCAAAGCAAATAGAGAAAAGTTTAGAGGGAGATATTTGTTTCTCTTTATTGAATAAAGAGAGAAACCCAAAACAATTAGGAATGAAAGAATTCTGATGTATTTCAATGATTAAGACTGTATGATTTACAAGGTATTTATACAAGCAAAGGAGTCTCAATTATATATCTCTCAAATTAATACCTATTGATTGCCATATAAAGATCCTTGAAATTGGGTTGCTAATTTTCTATACAATTTGACCGTTAGCCATAATGACAGATCCTCGAAATTGGGCTGCTAAATAAGGTATAGTCAACACCCCTTCCTCAAACTAATGTTTTGTATCACAAAAGATAACTGTGTCGATTTTTTGACATGACCTTTGTGAATAAATCAGCTAGTTGATCTTTAGAGGATATATACCTCAGGTTAATTAATGCTCCCATCTTCAATTAGTGTATGATACAGACAGTCTACGTCTATGTGCTTGGTATTTTCATGATGAATGGGTTGGTTGCTATTCGAATTGCACTGGTGTTGTCGATCCTTCAATTTTGATGCCATCGTCTTCGTAGCCAAATGATTTCAGAGCATGCAACAGACATACTTCTATGTTATGCCTCTGTGGATGACTTCGATATTTGAGATTGTTGCACTTCCAAGAGATCATGCATGATCCAAACATCATGCACTAGCCTGTAGTGGACCGTCTTGAATCAAGGCGTCCTGCCTAATCTGCATCAGCATATCCCACCATATCCAGTGATGAAGATGATAAAAATAAGAGATTTCGATTCTATGTACTCCTTACGTAATTAATAACGCTGAGCAAAGCTGCCTGCAGTCTTCGGTCCTATGGCCATGTGTGCCATGATATTATGTCCTTCATCTTGAAAGAGGAGTGTAATAGGTTTTAAGATCATGAGAGATTTCATCGTTTCATGTGATAATCATGTCATCTATGTAAATGAGGAGAATAATAATGCCTGAGGTGGACCGATGTATGAATAATGAATAATCTGAGTAAAACCAGGATTAGTTCGAAAATCGTCAAACCAAGAGAGAGGAGCCTGCTTTAATACACAGAGAGATTTCTTAAAGACAACACATTTGATTTGCGCTAGAGTTTTAGTAACCTGGTGGTGGAAACGGATCTAAAATTTTCAGAACATGGATTCACCACTAAAGAAAGGAGCAGAAAAACTACTAAGTGAGAACCGATCCCTATTCCTTAAAGTAAATAACTTCGCCTTAAACCAAGTGCGCCATTCAATCTTCTTGGAGCATGGCGGCCAGTAGCTAATATTAGATTAATTCTAGAAATATATAAATAAAATACTTAGTTTGATAGAAAGACCATGGGTTCATGTGTACCACAATTTGATGGGTAAATCGGCCCTTGGATTCATATAGACCACTTCTTACAAGTCTACATATAGGAAAGCATTCTTAATGTCTAGTTAATGTAACTTCTAACTTTTTACTGACACTAAAGCGAGCAATATACGTATTATCATCATCTTAGCTACAAAAGCAAATGTTTCATCGTAGCCGATTCCATATCTCTGTTTGTGCCCTTGAGTCACCAATCTTGCTTGTATCAATCCACAGATGCATCAACTTTCATCTTGATTGAGTAAACCCATCTACTAGAAATAATGATTACATATTGGTTTATCCACCATATCCCGTGTATCATTCTCCTCAAGGGCAATTAATTCTTCATGCATTGCATCCTCCCAATATTTCTGACCACTTGTCTGCATGTAAGAATTTAACACAACTATAGAATTCAATGTTGTAAGGCATATGATCAGCCATATTCACATGGCGCTTATCCATATCAATCCAGAGGAGAAGCATGCCGAGATGATCGTCTAATGGAATCAACGACATTTAGACAAGGAGGAGAAGGTTGGTTATCAAGGTTTAGTAGACCATTTAAGTGTGTTAGGTTGGTGAGGTAAATAATTTGTGTTTGCCAAAGTAACATCTACCAAAAAAGGATCAAAGTCACCGGTAGTACCTGTGTGGCAGATGACAAATTCGACGATGGATCAGCGTCTAGGTTGTTATGGCTAGTAGAATCATGAGTAAAATTATTTTGCAATAGGATATAGTAGAAGATTGTAAATCTTTGCTAGCATAAGTAAAAGAATTCTCAAAGAAGATAACATGTCTAGAAATTCTCAATACGTGTTGGATCATTACACAAATACCCTTTTTTGATTGTCATTATATCCCACAAAATTACACTTAATAGTTTTTAAGGATAATTTATGATGTTCATGATCTTGAAAAAGAACAAAATATACACAACCAAATATTTTAAGATACCAATAGTGGGGTAATTTTTTAAAAGAATAAAATAGGGGTTAGCTGAAGATGATTATCTATTTATAAGATAAATAGATATTTGAATGAATTTAGACCAAAATATTTTTAGAACATTTGATGTATCAAGAAGAGCTAAGGTAGTTTCAACGGTATGTCTATTCTTACATTCCACCATACTGTTTTATTTTGGTTTATAGGGGCAAGAATATCGATGAATAATGCCTTTTTTCTTAAAAAAAAAAAAGTTAGCTAGATTTATATTCACATACTCTCCTCCTGAATCTGAACGAAAAACCTTAATTTTTTTTTTTCAAACTGGTTTCTATGAGGTTATAAAATTGTTTGACAATTTTTGGTACTTCAAATTTGTGTTTTACAAAGAAACCCAAGTATGATAAGATGTTTGGCCAATGAAAAAGATAAAAATATACTTGTAATCCAAACGAGATATAATTGGAGAAAGACCCTAAACATCACTATGAAATAATTCAAAATGAGTAGAATAAGTAGTATTGCTTAATTAAAATGGAAGGTTTATGACTCTTTGATCTTGCACAAGTCTCATTAGGTAATTTAGACGGCAAACCAGTGAGTATTTATCCAACAAAATACCGATGCATTAGGTCCACCTTCTTTCACTGTCATCAATATAGTGACTTCTTTGCCGTCAGACAAAGTAAAAGTGTTTTATATGTTCCTATGACTCTCCATCTCCATCAACATAGAGTAAGCCTTGTTGATTGAAAAACTAACTCGTTATTTGCTCATAAGATGCATGGAGTCCCATGAGGAACTGTAAGAGTTTCTACCTTACCATGAATGTCATAAATTCACGAAACTTAGCACAATCATAACAAAAATTTGGAGCTAAACTATGAAACTCAACCCACAATAAATGCACAATTATGAAACTGGTCCCCTGACTAACAATAGCAA